TTTTCTATTGTAAAACGATGTTCTTTCATTATTATCCATTTTATTGTTAACAATTTTACACTATTTTTATCTTCTTTGTTTTTAAGCAAGTTTTAACAACATTGTGACAGCAAATTTATTATTTCCAGACTTATAAGAACAGGAGAAATCGCAACATGATTTGCTACCCTCTTCACAGAAATAAAAGTTTAACTCTCATACTTCTTGTTGTCGTCAGTGTTAATGGACAGCTATGCCAGAAAGTCGTCGTTGCCGGGAGAATAATCTGCAAGGACACAGCACCGTTCATTGACGGGTTAGGACGATGTGCAAGGAGTGCTCCTGTAGAGTATGGCAAGAAAAGGTGTGGCTTTATTGGATCTGGTTGTCGATGTCAATCTTATCAAGTTCTAAACATGGTAGCAGCAAATTTATCTGCGATCTCCCAGTTGTCAGGTCTAATTGGACGGAAGTGACTACATCTTTGGATTGAAATGCAAACATGTTAATACATGTGCATAAATGGATGACTCATCACTTTTGTTTTCATGATTTTTTCAGCTTCGGGTCCAAAAATGTGAAACCCCATTTATTGAAAAGTCATACATACAATCAAACAATTATTCATAGTCATACAAATATATAAAGAAGATCATTAAAAAACTAAAAAAAAGGAAACATGTGAAATTATACAGTTTCAAAATTTTCACATTACATTTATGATATAATTTTGAAATGCGATTATATAAATATTTGTTAGGAGAACATTGTAATACGTTGGTTTAATAATTATATTATATGATATTTATAAACAGATGGTTTTGTGAGATAGTTTTAACATTCATTTATATACTGTTATTTTCTCATCCTTGTCACCACTGTGTCCCCAGCTAGAAAAACCTAAACGAAGACTGTATACGAAAAACAGATTAGGTCTTACCGTGGATCATGGTTTAGAAAATGAGTAAAAACAGTATAATTTGAAAGTTTTAAGTTATGTATAGTTCACATAATTAATAACATAGTAGGTAGAGTTATTAACACCATGGACAAGGATTAACTTAATTAAAATAAAATATGATAAACAAGATCGACAAGGAAAGGCGGCATTCAATGAACGCAGCCCCCATCCGACCCAGCAACAAGCGTCAGCGGCAAGGAGCCCAGGAGGACTCCAAAGAAAAACAGGACAGGGCACAAGGCAGAGCTAAAAAAAATAAACCACAATTCCATGTCTCCTAACGGAATAGTTTATCGACATATGTCTATTATTAGGGAATCTTTATATGTATTAATGGTGTAGCTAAACAATGACCACATTTCCGTGCTTCTAAAAGTCATGTTTCATAAAGACTGATAACAACTAAAATTTACCTAACATATGTTTAACAAATTTACTTCCCTTTATTAGAAGAACAAAATTGCTTAGTTTTTCTTTCTGGTTAAAAGTAATTAATTACATATTACATAAAAAGGATTTAAACAAATAATATCAAAATTAGCCAGAACTTTCTCCGCCTACTCTATCGTGGACATTGTTTTCATGATTTAGATAACTGTCTTGTATTACAAGATTTCTTTGTAAGTATGAATATTGAAACAATTATGATTCTTGTATCCGATTTGTTTCGTTTCCATTTCAAAACCAGTTACTAATCGAAAAAGACAGATTGAACAGTAAGTATTGAGTAACAACTAAAACACAAATGTTTATCATTATTGTAGTTTCATCCAGATTATATGTTAGAAACCTATAAGATAGGAATTGTATGACAAAAAGAGTAATCGTGAAGAACTAGTTCCTGAAGAAATCAGTTATAAAACAACTACAACTACAGAAGGTCGATGAATAGTTAAGTCTTTTGATTTCTTGTGAAAATGTCACTCATCGCAGTTTAAACTTGGAATTCGCTTTGCCAGTCTGTTTAACGAGTATTTACTTTTACCTACATTACATGCCCTTTTGCTCTTAACCAATCGACAACTATACCGTTATACAATCAAATTTTATGTTATTATACTTGATAATACACAACGTAATTTTTTCTGATCTTCGTCGTGAAAAAGATGGTCCATTTTTATTTTCTCTCGTTACTGTTTCGATCAATATTTTATTATTGTATTGGATAGTGTAGAGGACATTAATTCTAGTAAGAAACCCATACATAAAATGTTTCTTGCGAGAAAATACTCATTTTTCTTCGTCATATCGCACAAATACCTGATTGCTCAAACAAGCGTTTTCTATTTCCGTATAAAATACTGTCTTTTTCCCACAAAAATCGTGGTATGTGTTAATTTGAACGAGAGGGTTCCACATTTTATACAGTTAATATTGAAATATTCAAAACGTTATTGAAGAAAATAAAACAGTATCGTCTTTTGTATTGTATTGTCCCATGCAGATCAAAAACAAAAGGTGAAAAACAAGTATAAAAGAGAAATCGATATTCGGCTCGATGAGTGATAATGGAAATGGCAGCATATCCCTCAATCTTAGCACGTAGTTAAGTAAAGCAGTATTCCAATCTGACTAAAGTTCAGATCTACCTATTTCTGTTATGTAGATCTGATTACGACCGTATATGTTTCGCCTTCTTAACAATTCGGATTTCCCCAGTCGCAACTTTTCGGCCCTTTCCGAAGGAAGATAATAGCCGAGGCAGTTCCGAATGCGATTTCCCGAGAAAGCTATTTTTAGCCGTGCAATGAAACCGGCTTTATTTAGGCGTTAAAAAAATTATCAAAATAACTTTATCTGTGAAAGTTAAACAAATTGTTATTTTTTGTTAGAAAAAAAAATTTGAAGTAATTTTTAAGACATTAACTTGAAATAATAGAGTCTATTTTTAATTGGCAAAATTGTTTTGCCACTTTACCAGTCGGCTATATGGGCAACGGCAAGTTTGTTCTCGAAATCGTGACAATTTCCTACTAAGTATTGGTTTTCCTAGGGTAAAAATTAGAAACCGCATCGCTTTCAAAATTGTGAAAGCTCGCCGATGATTGGCTATGTGAAAGACCACCAGAAATAACTTCGTAATTGGTCACTGTTAGATCTAAATGCGGAGCGTTATGTAGTGCTTATTTTAATCAGATTGAGCAGTATTCAATCTTCAATTCAGAGCCATTTATTTGACTTAGTGTCTATGTGTCATGACAATGTACAATAATTCTAAATGAAATTTTTATGTTTCATCTCCACTTCACTGGAAGACATGTAAAGTCTTAGTACGGTATCTTTAATAAAGTCATTGCTCACGGCCAAGGTCTAGGTTATGTCGGGGTTTACGGTCTTTAAACGTCGCCTTACATTGTTGGCCTTTTCTCTCATTCTTTAAAAAAAAAATACTACAGTACTGATTCTGTTTGGAGAGATGAATTTTCTTCTATTCTTTTAATTATCCATAATTATAATACATCTGCACTGGCAATATGTAGAACGACTTAAAGTATTAATTATATGTCTCCTTCTCTCTAATATATAGCAGTTTTTACCAGTATTATACGTTTAAAAATGGCGAGAGTATGCGTTACCGTTATGTAAAATCAGTTTCAATTTGGAAATGAATTTTAAAAATATATATTAATAATAGCTTAAATTTCTTTTAAATGTAATAACGTCAGCTTGAATCATCAGAGAAATCATGTAAATCAAAGCTGAATTGTGGGAAGTGTGAGAAAAATTTTGCTTATGAACGCAACTTAAAACGACACCTCCAAAGTTGCGGAAAAGTATAAAGAAGAGTCACACATGCAAGTATTGTACCAAACAGTTCTGTAGTCAAGAGGCATTTTTCCGTATGTGGTCCGTCCTGTCTTTCTTTGTGTAGAATGAACTATTGCATTCTTCAATTGTGCACACAAGTTCCCCTTTCCGTGTATGTACACGTTCAACGTGCCTTTTAAGAGAAGAGGGTGTTGCGTATCGCCCATCACATAAACCACATAATGTACTGGTCGCCGCCTGCTCATGATAGTTTTTTATATGAAATTTTACCCTGGCCTTATTGGCGTACGTTTTTTCACACAAATCACATGAAAATCGTTTTTGTATCCCCTTATTCATATCGAGATTCCATCTGAGATTTACATAAAATTCAAAATGAAAAACTGAAACTTTACCGACTAAAAGTAAAACACTATTTTTTGTGCCTCATTTGTTAATATCTTATAAATACAAAGAGGTTTTACTTCAATTTTAATGAATTGAATAATCAAATCGCGTAATTTATTTCAATATGTCATCCCAGTGATACGATGCATATGAAATTGTATATGTTAATCAGTTACGTATAATAACGGTTACACTCCATCATATTATCACAAAATGAATGATATTGTTGGCTCAAGCACATTTTCGAAGGCTCATTCACATTGCCGATGGCGCCAGCACCTTGTCGATGGCTCGATCACAATAATAAAAATGTGATTATTTGGTTTTCAACTAAGTTCTGTAAGTTATTTTTGTGTTGGTCCAAAGAGGAGGTTAGGACAATGCTATATGCACGATTAAGTCGGTCTGTATTTTCTTTACGGTAGGGAAATCACTCAAAATGTGTCTCCTCGGAAAAGAAAAGCCACAAGGTTATATTTGGTAAAAGTTCTAGCAACGTCATTTCGTGGCATGACATTCTTTGATTTTTGAAAAACAATCATGATCTTTTTAAATTGATAATTTTACTAAAATTTCGTACCTCTTTCAGACTTGTTTTCATCGAGGGCTTTGCAACGGAAGTGTCGATGGCTCTCATTTAAACAGATCACCAAAATGTGAAAGAGCCACCGTTTAGTAGGCGTGGTATATAGTTACTGAAAATTAAACACACGAAAGTTTTACAGATAAAAAGTGAATGATAAAACAAACATATGTAGAAATCCTAATTGGTCGTTATATGAATATTACCGCCGTGTATGACCAACCCATTTTTTTATGACAAACCTTTTACGACTATTTACGATAACAACATTTTGAAATATTTTGTGTTGCAATACCGGATATTGGTAACGTTATTTACATGTAAAACGACACGATCACGCATAAAACATGTTTACAGTTAAACCAGGACACAATTAAGTGAACGCTTAAAGTATACACTATCATCTCACTAACAAGTCATTTGTTTAAAATTTAAAAAATAAAAATACACCAAATCTCACCAAATCTTTTATTAGAAAAGATTCGTTTGAATAATAAATCTGAAATGTTGTTTGTGAGCAGATGGATTTTTGCGCTGTTTATAGTTTTCCAAGGTATGTATACTTTTGAGATATTTCTCTACAATATAGTGAGTAATATTTAATATGATATATAATATATGATGCAAAAATTCATGAAACCATAATATAATTCATGTTATCAGCTCATTGATACACAAGATTGAAAATGATTGTCTGGTTTAGTGGTAGGTACAAAATACAGAATAACAGACCCTCCATTATGAACAAACTAATGTACTTCAGATATTTAAAGCAGCTAGATCATTTCTATTTATGCACTATACAGTTGTTACTCCTATCTCTATCCGTGTGAAAAAAGGGGCACTTTAAGATGTAAAATCTTTGTCATGCAGTTGGAATCAATCACGGTAAAATACCCGCTAAATACACCGGGAGTTTGAAATATCCGCCGCCATTTTGGCGCCAAAACAGAACTAGTCAATTGCTCTAATAGTGCAGTTACAGATGGGATATCAAAACTACGTTCAACCCCCCCCCCCCCTTGCCTCAAGGTGACGGGACATTACTGTTGACTAGTGTACTGCTAAGATAGTGTTTTTTATTCTAAAAGAGTTAGTCCGCTCAGCAAGTCGATATTGAAATCATCGATTTATGAACTGCATTGCTATTCAAACAATATGACTAGTGATAAAACAATCAAGTTTATCAGACAGTGTTATTACTATTCTGATTTTGTGAAAGCCAATGTCAACTTACGTTTCGAAAAAATAGGAATTTTATAAATGTTTTATTCGTTATAACATGTATATTGTTATTTGATTACTGCACCATTAAATCTAATTAACGAACTACCGTTTTATAATTTAATATGTAATGATCATTGTAGGTACAACATTATCTGCTATAATAGAAGTTTCAGAGGACCAAGAAGTGACCATCACATGCCCATTAAATGTTCAATACCCAACCTGGACTGGGCCTGACGGATTGGCTAACCCAATAAATAATGGACATACAATCAATGAACCAGGCATTTCATGGGTAAATAGCAAAGATCTGAAGATAGATAAGACCATGTTAAAGCACGATGGTAACTATATATGCTCTGATTACAGTGGTGACAGAAAAACCGTGGAAGTTGATGTACAGTGTACGTAATTCTACGAAATCCCTAAATAACCATTATACACAACGAAATAATCCTGAATTATGTTTGTCAAGATGACTTCATTTTTATTTAACGGGGATTATTATTAAATTTTAATATTGATAATAATAGTAAACATGATTTCGTTTTAGCATAATAATATTGACATCGAAGCGTGATATTATATAAATAACACATGGGTTTGTGGGTAACAGTATATAAATAACACATGGGTTTGTGGGTAACAGTAAAAATATCATTCCGAGGAAAATACTGTTACCCGAGGCTACGTCTCGGGTAACAGTATTTTTTAGAGGGATGATATTTTTACTGTAACTCACAAACCTATGTGTTATTTATTTTATTACCTCGAACAAAAATCCTGTGATGATCTGAAATAGTCAATTAAATCTAACTGTAACAAAAATTAACCAAGAGTAACAATAACTAATCTGTCCTTACCTTTTAAGTTTTAAGTGTACTTTAGGCCTACTTGAGAAGTTTTTTTTTCTTTTATTCTTTAAGGAAGTGGTGATATCTACCAGTCATAAACATACAATCAGCTGTGTTTTATTAAGAAAACAAACCACTAACCCATTTATAAGGTTATGATATGTGAAATTTGATCCACTTGTATCCAAAATATTCTTCGCATGGTTTTTTGACAAAATTTACAAAATAACGATGATATCCTACAAATGTCTGTCCACCAACTCTATCTGGTTAAAATTGTTAAATAATCCTTTGTTGTATGCTTTAATCGTCTGTATGTTCCAGTTGACACAAAATTATTTACATTACAATTACTTTCGTTGAAAACGGATGTTACTTTTTTGACTATTCAACAAAAAGATATTTTATACGCGAAAAGAACTCTAGGGTGCAAAGAACTAAATTTTACAATAGTCACAGTTACTTTGATGATGCCCTAGGCCCTATCGTCGAAAATAAGAATGAATCGAGAGAAAAATGGCGGCCATTTTATTTCATTTTATTTAGAAAATAGACCACGTGACCAGATTTTATACTGTTAAAAATACTGTTACCTATGTACAGTACAAAATACTTAGTCACGTGGTACACTTGCATTAACAGTAAGAATAACTTCCAGAGGCCTATGGGAAATTAACATTACGAAAAAAAGTGAGGGGTAATAATGTGTAATATCACTTTAATATTATATGATATTTAGGCATCACAATATATATGTGAAAATGTTTTTTTTTGTTGTTGTTTTTTCTTTCCATAATGTTTAATACTTAACTATCTTTAAATTTTAAAATTATTAGCGGTAGTTGATAAAGGATGCGCGTCGAATCCATTTCTTGTCTAGCTAAGAAAACGTTTACTTTTGTATTTGTTGACTTCATTGCAAACAATTAACGATTAACATGTGGTTTGTTTCTTGAAATTTGTATATGATTGACACACTTGTGTTTAATATTATTTTCTAGACAGAATTCTAGTTCTAGACGATGACAAATGGGCTTCTTGCAAACGTTCTACCCTTTCCAGATTCAATATTTTGTGTTCTTAAGCTTTACGGATTTCTAAACCAAGAATATTACAAAACATCCTTCAAATCTGATTTCAAACTATTTTATTTGTCTTTACTTTTTCAGATTTTCACTCCTCGACACATTTTACAACAGCCACCGTTCACAACTCAACAACCATTTTAACATGCAGGTGTTACGCTAATCCTTCATGTAAAATTGTGCCGCACATTATAACTACTTATAGAGAAGGACAAGATAATCACGACTCGGTTACCACATTTACTGAGTGCAAAGCTGTAAGTAACACAATTTACTTTTACATTGACATTTATCATAAGCACAGTGTATAAACGATTTGTACCCCAACCGGATCTTGTGAGAAGATCTCAACATTAGTTCAGTACAAACAGGCGGGGTGACTCATAAAACTTTTTAAGACGGCTTGCATTTAATCTGTGACGGTATGTAAACATTTGAATCATATTAAGAAATATTTTTTCTTTGCTTATAGATATATCTATAACCAGCTTCTTTAAATTTATGCGCATAAAACGCAATGCTGTTCGCTTCGTGTTTTGTTTATGTCAACACACGCCGATTACACAAGCAAATTTATGCCTAAAATTGTTTTATTTCACTATAACTCATATCTGAATCTTAACTTTATTGTCTTACCTCGTCTTACCGCACAGACACTTGTGTGGATATCTTTGAATATTGATAAAAACATAGTAAATAATAGAGGCGAACATTCTGATAACTGTACCCGTCTTGCTAAAACAATTTTAATGATCTGTACCCTACTTGTGTTTTCACTGAACCATAACTTGCGAGTCACTTTTGATGATTTTTATTGTTTTTGTCCTATGTTCCAAATTATATCTTGCAGAATATGAAGTTATTGTGTCACAAGAGCATGACACATCTTTTAGTTCTATATAAGTGATAATACTGCACATGAATGGACCTTCATCATGTATTCACTTTCCATGGAAATACCAGCATAAAGTAGCTGGTAATACGAATTAGGAAGAAAAGTATTTCTTGACAGAAATTATCAACCAACAAATCTTATCTTCATTTACCATTGATTTATCTTTGAAAAGGTATAAAGCTAAAATATAACATAAGTACTATAAACGTTTCTACTAAACGTTTCAACGGCATTGTTGTTAGTTTTGACGTGATCGTTATATAACGCCACATATCAATCCATCCTCCTCGAAAGATCATCACATGATTTTTTGGCATGTTACTTATTTCAACATGTTGAAAGCTTTACACCTACCGTTGATTTCATTATGCTTTTTGAAACACAGTTTTATATTCTCATAAATGCCTTGACTTTATATTTCTGACATGCCCGACTAGAATCACTCTAAATAAATCATTTTAAGGAGTTTCTTGCATATTGTTGTTAAATGTCTAAAAGGTAGTTTTCACTCTTGCAAGTTTATTACCACTTATTTTTAAATAGTTTACAAACTTGCCAGTGTCTAAGACAACCTGTTAGATTTCTTTTCACACAACTTGAAAAGTTTATCATTGGCTATCATAAGGGATCTTAAGTCAAAAGATATATGTAAATCCAGTTCCTTTCTATAAATTGCCATATACATGTATTTCAGATGAATTTGGATGAATCATTTGTAGTTGAGAGTCTTGAGAGTAGCTTTCGTGTAACAAACACTCCCCTGAAAACACAACTTAAATGTGGGATCTGTGGAATAAGTTGACACCAAGTTTAAACTTAAACTCTTCTTCATTTGTGCTAAAAACGTATCTTTTGTCGAAGTGTGAACATCTTTAACAGGCGTTTTGACTTTTTTGCATTTCTTGATTGGAGATTATTTTTCAAGTCCTTCTTGTCTTGAAACTTTTACTGTTTTTGTAATATCATTTGCTTTTAAAGTCCTTGTTTTTATTTATTTTTTTTCAGTTCTTTTGGAATAATTCTAAAGTCTTTGGGGTATGATTTTAATGTTTCTGTTCTTGTTGTGAAACTGAGAAATTGTTTTTTTTTAAGATTTTGTTCTTATGTCAAAATTTTGAACAATAGTGTTTCCGAAATTTTTTGAAGAGAAAGGGGGCAATGAAGACAACTGAATTCTTCCATTTTGCCTGACAATAAACAAATAAATACGTTAAATGATAAACGTTCTCTCCATTAAATCTTTAAAAATACTCACAAGTCAGGGTACAGATAAAATTCGTAAACTCACAAGTAGGGTTCACAATCACCAGCAAGTAACATTCAGTTTACGGAATTGATCTTCTTGGTTAAACTCTTAAAAGCCATTTTTTGCAGATGACTAAATTATCGTTTGTTATTGATTATTTTAGTAGTTCGATATCGCAATTCAATGTTTCACTAAATAAACCTTGAAATAAGACGGATTTTTCTTCTTGTTCAGTGTTGATCACCTGAAAGCAGTTCGTGAGTTTCGATTATTTTATAGCTTTAATGCTAACATTTATATTTTGCATAACTTAAAGGTTTAATAAAGTTTCTCTTCTACGATATAAATAAAGATTTACTAACCTAACGTCCATAAGTATCAATATAAATACCAATATATTAAGTAAGTTAAGCGTCAGAAAATGGCTGACACTGATATCTTCTCACAAGATCCGGTTGGGGTTCAAATCGTTTATATACTGTGGTAAGGGATATCAACGTTTTGTAAATAACTGAACGCAATGATTTTAAAATAATTGTAACGGCTGTGATACATTGTCTTAGCAAAAAAAAATGCAATTCTAAATTATTGTTTATTTAGATGCTCTGATAAAATGCATTCAATTTATAAGATTATTTATTAAAGATGTCCATTTTTGTCAAATTGTAAGATGAAAATTTATGTTTGTTAAAGTCCAAATTGTGACGATATTTAGAAAGAAATGAAATCCTTAAGAACCAAAATAAAAATGTTGACGGCTTGATTTGGTTGAGTCTGATCATGAACGGTAATGGAAGTGAAAGCTTGATATGCTAATATAAAACAAAGAATTACATTATAGCAAACGCCCTACATGCAATTCTCAAAACGTCGATTGTTTTTAAGGTCAATACATTACTTTCTATTTTATGGTTTTAGTAAAGGATCATGACCATTTTGTTTTAGCGCTTCGTCTAGTTATTCATGTCTTTTGTTAAGAACTTTAGAATACAATCTTTTGTATATATTCTTGGATGTAAATTTCGATTATCATATATCTCTAAGATGTAAGTAAAAATATAATAGCTAGAGCCTCGCTCAAGATATTTCTCCGTAACCATTGTCTATAATGGTCATTTGTTTCTCACTGTTAAATCAATAATCATGTGTGATTAGTAACTGGGTCACCAACGAAAAAGTAAGTTTACTGGTTAGTTATCCGGTTAGGTGGAGCGACCACAGATATATGATTTATATATTGAAGAATTGTTTACAGGATCCGCTTCGAGAAAAACAAAGGAAATGTACTAGAGTTATCTCAGTGATGCATGTTTACAAGGAGGACAATGGTAAAGAGATGAGCTGTATATTTCAATATAAGAATGTGACAGACTATCTTATCATGTATCCCAAAGTAAAAGTTTTATGTAAGTGTATAAACAGTTACAGGGATTATGTTATTATCAAATTTGTTATACTAGTCAATATTTACTAATATTTTGACCCCGTGTTTCTATTCTGTATTAAGTCCGGAAGACATTATAAAGCAAAGTAATGTTTACCAAAGAATAAAATTAATAAACATTATTATTCAATAAAATGTACACATAAATAAAGTATATGATATTATTTTATGCTTTTCAGTGGATTACTGATTTATCCGTGAAAATTATATTTGATTATTTCACAGTGAAAATTATCAAAATATAATTTCACTTTTTTCAATGACGAAACTACTTTTTTAAGATTTTCCCCATGTGGTACCTCAATTTTATTTTTAGGGACAATTCTGACAATATCAGGCTGTTAAAAGAAATAGCAAAGCTGAAATAGATAAATAACTTAAATGTCAAAAGTAACACAGAGAGAAAACTTACTTCTATTCCTTCAAATTCCAATCACCAAATTTCGTCTCTAATTTTTTTGTTCGTTTTTACAGTCTGAAAAATACATTCCTTCCCCATGCAAAACTGCTCTTGATGACATTTGGGCATATTAAAGTATCCTACGAGCAATAACTGCCGTATGCTTTATGAAAAATTGAAAAGCATTGACAGCCATCACTCGTAAAATAAGTAAAACTACCCAGCGTTCCTTCATTGCCTTCAGCAAGTTTCAAGTTTTCCATTTTCCTAGCTCCTTTTCTGAATGTTTTCACTTCTGTCAACACTTATTTTTTGTCTGTTACAATCCTCAAATAAGTTTTCTTTCTTTTAAAAAGGTGTATGACTAACAAATCCAAATTATATCCTTCTGAATCTTACACAATTATTTTCCTCCCTTGAAATACACAACTTTAAAAAATGGCTGCCGTTTACATTTTAGAAAGCCAGGTCTAATATAAATTCGCAGTAAGTAACAGAAATATGGATGGATGGTTGGAATTTTTCCTGCAAGAATTGTTTGTTTTATTATTAAAACAAGCGATCATTCACATTTTTTTAATAAAATGAATAAATATCACCGTCATTTAACCTTGATTGGCGGACTTATTTTTTCAGCTCAAGACTTCTTGTTTTAAATGAAAAATTCCGTCTAAATGGGGCTCTCAATGGGGGAAACAGATTTTAATATTATCGTTAAAATTATGAAAATTTCCTTTTAACTTGTTTTTAAGCATAAAATAAAAAGAAAATTTGTCTGTTTGTTGTGTAAGATGTAATTTTATTTCATCTCGTGAACTTAAAAAAAACAGTATTCTCACTCGTGGCTACGCCACTCGTGAGAATACTGTTTTTAAAGCTCACTCGATGAAATAAAATTTCATCTTACACACAAACAAACAAATATCCTCTATCTCCTTTCTTTACTTTAAATTTAATTTTCTTTCAAAGCATTATCTTTCCATTGCAAAAACACAAATAAAACATTTACATTTTGATTTTGGCGTCGAATGGTATAGGATCGACACACTTGTCGTCCCTTGTTTTGAAATTACAAACTAGATATGGTACATACCCGACCTGAATCTGTCTTATTGACTTGGCGTTGCTTTAAACTAGGAACAGTCCAACAATGTATATATGAGTTCAATTTAAAAAAATACAACATAATTTTATTATTACAGTTCCACCAACACTTGTAAACATCTCGGCAGAAATGGTTGATTCTAAATTAACTTTAAACTGTTCCACGGATTCTTCTAACCCGGTATCTTCATTAACATGGCGAAGGGGTGTCAGTCCTAAAACCTTTGTAAATGATGTAATAGTGAGTGGTTACAATGAATATACAAGGGATGCTGAATACAATGGTAAAAATATAACTCAAGCTATTGACATTGATCCAAAGCATATAGACATTGGAGAGACCATCTTCTGCTGTGCCCGCTATCAAACTCAACAAATATGTGATTCTATGAGCCTGAACTCTTTTCAGATATGTAAGTACATTTTTTTTAAAGCGTATTACCTCCTAAGGCGCAAAGTTGTTTTTGTCACAGTTTAAATATATTGGAGGAATAATTATTTCAGAAAACAACCTTACACAATAGGAAGCTGGAATTAAGAATAATTCAGTTTATATAGTCTGTGAATTATGCTCTACACTATGGTTTGTTCAAACATGACTTTGTAGTTCTAGTATATCGTAACTTCAAAATAACTATTAACCAAAGATTAATCGACTCATTCGATTAGAATGTGGATGTTCTCGTACAGAAAACACGTTTTTTTCTTTTCATTTTATATCAATTTACACTATTGTTATTGTATTTACGTAAATCTAGCTTACGGAACGTCGGTGGTTCTACTCAGGTGCCCGTTCGTGCCTGAAATAATGCACGGAGGGGCACCTGAGGTCTTCCTCCACCAGTAAAGCTGGAACGTCGCGATATGACCTATACTGTGTCGATGTGACGTAAAACCCAATCAAAACAAACGGAATTTACGTAAATAATAGATTATTCACTCTTAGCAATGTTTTCTTTTTTCAGCTGAAGGTTGTGTTTCTAAATCAAGTTTAGCAACATTATTTATTGGTATATTCCTGCTCCTTGTGTAAGAAAGACAGACGTGTCCGTTCTCTTTGAAGACACATATTGATGTCTAAGAAGATCTGCATGGTTGATAATTACTAAGTTATAACACAACTTCTTTAATTAATTAGTCATGGCTATCATTTCTTATTTAATTGATGCTTTATATCTAGTCGGTCGAATGTTGGCATTATATTTATTTATCATAAATTTATTTATTTTTTATTTTTAGTTTTTTTAATTTAATATTCTTTTAGTTGTCATTTTGATCTATATAATAGATCGAAAGATTTAAAAAAGTTGCGTTCCATTTTTATCTACAATTGTATATTTCTGACATGTTTTCTATTTTTTCTTGTATTATATAAATAAAGTTTACAAACCATTATTTTGTAATGTTTACATTTTGTACTTTAAATCGGCGGTCATATAGCTAATGGTGTCTGCCTAACAACTCATTCGTTATAACACCAAAAGTTGCAAAACACTGTTTAATTCAAGGTTAAGTAAATTATTATCTATCAAACTGAATGTTTGCGACACAAACAATTACTAATTTGTAAAGATCAGTATATGGTATTAAAATACCTAACCTATTTTGATGTATCTTGATTTATGTTGTGTAAATTGCGTTCTGGTGATGATTACGTCTCCATTATTAACAACTGAGTTACATAACAATGCATTTCCTTGCATAATTTTTCACATTAATCTTCGTTTTTGGTTCAGTGAAATAACAATAAATAAATAAATAGATAAATATCACCTTTTGCGTGTTCAAAAGCGTTCTGACATATAATGTAACATCACATTGAAAGGGGAGTTAAGACGTATTAGTTTAGTTTTGTTTATTTATTTAATCATGACATATTACATGTATGTGACTAAAACTACAAAGAATATTTTGTGTTCAATATCAGTTATCTGTCTTGAAAGTAAAAAGAATAGTTGCTTTAATGTAAAATTAAAAGTTGTATAAAAGAAAATGGAGATATGAAGGTAATTTTAAATGTAATAAAATCATTCTATCATAAGGGAATATATTCTGCAGATAGGGACTATTGAAAGGTAGGTTGTATCCAAGCAGTTCGGTTAACTCAATAGTTAGAGTGTTGGACTGTGGTCACTTTCGTTGTGATTAAACATGGTCATTCGCACTGTACCTCTGCTCTGTTATGTACAGAAGATTCAGTTCCTTGTGAAAGTGAAAGCAACTAGTACTGGTTAATTGCTTGACAGCCTACCCAGGAACGTTGCGTTGACATAACCGTGCTCTGGAAAATTAAATGTGGCGTGCTGCCGTGATCCGGAGAGAAAACTACCAACACCACCACCAGGTGTATCTCCCGAGTTTAGAGTTTATTATCACTTGTATGCAATCAGCGAGAGCAATGCAATCCATTATAATAGCATAACATTTATGTATTTTTTCTTTTCTTATATAATTTCAGTAAAATACGCAACATTAATTTGTACGAAACAAAATTTTTTCCACTTCCTTTCGAAATACTTAGCATTGTTATGTTGTTATGCAACGAGTTTGAATACATGTGACTACATGGAGCAAGGGAATTTTACCGCCTTTTGAATAAATTTTAACAATCGAGCTATTACGGTGGCATAAAAGGGAACATAGGAAATCTTTTATTTATTACGTCGGCACACGATAGTATTATAATTATGTGCACACGATAGGTATTACGTGACAAGGCGATATGTATTACATGCATACGCGATAGTCATACCTGGCCATGCAATAAATACATTTATTTCGTACGATGATCATGTAATGGCTTTTACGTGCGCACGTAATAGTTATCACTTGGCAACGTAATACAAATTGTGTGCGCACGTACTAATAATTTTGTAAAAGAATAGCGAAAAAACGCATTAAAATTTATGCACGGCCGCACATTACAGCACATTTGTCTTTTGCAAGCGCCACGGCGCCGGAGAACGTTTAGGTCGAGCGTATTTGGTTAAACTGCCACCGATCTGTTTTATCTTTTTGGTAAGTCCAACTGTCTGACACAACTCTCTAACACTATTGTTTGACTAACAAGATACTTGTGTCAGGTTTGTCATATTGCATGTTATTAAATGAGACTATCCGAACTGTTGTCAAATGTTTGTGAAATACCCGTTTTCCTGGACGACTTAATGACAACGTTTTCGAATAAATAAACGTTGCAACCGAAAACCATTGAAACATGACTTCACAATAATCCAATGTTCAAATGACGTGAAGTTTTGGATGACATTTTTTTCGGGTTTTAAACCACCAAGCACCTGCAAATTTTAGAAAAGATCCATTTTTGTATCAGGCACTTTTGATTAATTATTGATTTCAACGTTTGTCAAGTTTTTGAGCTACGCCGCTATGGCCTTTCTATGGTTATTTTAGGGAGCTTGCTGACTGGATGACATTAAAGCAATTTTATTTTGCAATTAAATAGATAAACATCTTTTTTGCGCAGGTATGAATTTATTAAATAAACATGAAATTTATCAGAATTATAAACAAATTCCGGGCAATTCAGGATTATGTATAATCTTATTTACACTTTTAAAAATATTTGAATCCAGGGTATTTTTGTATTTTTGACAAGTAAATCTAGGCTTATAAAATTGTCCAAGAATTTCTGCTCATGATAATGTTATTTATTTCTTATCTTTCTCTCAGTTTTAAATGCTACAAGTTAACTGGAAAAAATGCGTCTAGATGAAAAGTGTAAGAACTGTATCAAAATAAATTGTTATATTAGTATAAAAAGGAAATATAAATAAGAATTTTCAAATACATGTTGTATTTATTCTGTATCAAAAATCAAATGTATATACGCCGCCATCTACCATCGAGGACAAATCCATGTCAGCGTCGCTGAACAAACACCTTCGCCGTTTCTGTCTGATCGACCTGTTATCACACGATTCAAACCAATGTATATGTCCTCGTTGATTCCCTGACTGTCTGCCTGACCATTCAGAGCATACAGACAGTTGTCACATACATATTCATCAAACCCTTGGTCGTTCATGATTCGAATGTGTTGATTGCTGACGTAAATGGTCACGTGATTGACATTTGGTCCAATAGCGTCCGCAAAGGTTTTGAATGAACCTACCGAATTGCACCTATCGCTGTGATAAAGTCGAACTGCAGGAAAAACACCTTCAGCCTCTGCGTCATTCATCTGTGTGTTGTAATCACCCCCTTAATTTTTTACAAAACAGTAGAATAAATTAATCACGATACATTGGATTGGTGCATAAACGTTAGAGTATAAATAATGCAATTTCAATTTAAACAACATAACATTATTATTATTTTAAAGGATTCTAGTTAACTTTCAAAATTAAGATGATAATTCATGTGTACTCATAGGCGAGATATACTTGTGAATGTTGGATCAATTATGTCTTCTCATCCGGCTTATAATTACACAAGGGCATCTTGAATCGAATTGAAATTTCATACAAGTTTATTTTTTATTAATTAAATCTTCTTACTGTATCCATCGTTTGTTCTGCTGTCTCCTATATTAAACCCCCAACCTGATCGTGTACCAGAACTAAGTGTCAGATCTATTCTCAACATACGTCTACCACATAATGGTTTTCTTAAGCAGTAGTCACATGGGTCCTTTGTAAACTTCTCAAAGTTTATCTGTGATTTAAGTAAAATTGTCATAGTTTTACCACATGCCTAACATGTTTCAAGTCTGACTAAAAACTACATCGCTACGAGGAATAATTGGAAAACATTTTTTAACTATATAACTGAATTGCTTGAGTGTGTTCAGTATTTACATATTTACCTTCAGAAGTGCTCTTTTGTTGCAGTCCCCAGTTAAGCTTGTCTGTGCTGTTGGCTGTTGAAGGATTTGAACACCTGCTGCGGTATTAATTCCATCACATGGAGCATTGCTTGTTAAATCGACATGAGTGAATCCACGTTCACAGCACTGGAACGTCGAAAGAAACGGTACGTAAGGTCTACAAATTGGCAACGGTCTGAACCTTGCGCCATCAGGAATTCGTAATCTCTTCTTTTGTCCAGGTTCATGTAGATCGTGGCCTTGTAAAGATAAATGTTTTGTTGTTTGTTTAACCATTTCAAAGCATTGTTGCAGTAAAGATTTGTAAGCATGATATTTATTATTTCCTTTTTATTACAATTAGGAAATTATTCAAAATGATACCTAATTCCGTTCTTTACTACAAATCCATCAATATTCTAAAATGTGCACATACCATAAGCATACCTGCTTAGTGTATATTCTGCTGTTGTACGTAACTCATTTTGCATTTGTTTCTTAGGAATTTATGTTTTACCTTTCGTTATATAGTTACCCATCATACAAACTAAACACTGATAAAATATTTTCGTCAGTATCCTACAATTACTATCATTTATATCTCTTTTAATTTACGTTCGACAAGGAGCAATAATTTCATAATACGCTCCATTAGCTATACAAGGTGTAATCTGAAATGATCTATATTTTGTGTAGTCGTTGATCCTTTTCACATATAGCATCTGGCTTTCGTAAGTTTTAAATCTTGAATTCTGCTAATGCCGGAGCCAGGGTCGTGGACAGTAATTTGCACTTAACAGTACCGTCAGAGAACAAGCTTAATCAAACCCAACCTGCAACATTTTCAATTTTGTCGTTTTGGGCGTTCTTTAGGGATTATATTTTCTCTATTTGTCTGTGCAACACCAATTACAAACTCGGGTTGTATAAAAAATCTTTTCTTTTTATAATTTTTGACAAGGTTATTGAAAGGCAAGTATGCCAACCTTTGAAATATATATTATGGAAATATTCGTTAATTGAAACTACTGATATTTGATACAAATAAATGTAAAATCAACTTCTTTTGATCAATTGCATCTTGCCGACCCTTTTCAGTCAAACCAAAGATTAAGATAGCAAACACTATCTGAGGGATATACACAGAACGGATATGGTTTTCGTTCTAACCTGCGCTGGTATTACGCGTTTGAGCAAATCCTAATTTGATGACCAAGTTTATTCCAATATGTCTAGGAAAGACTAAAAGCCCACCTAAATTCTATAAAAGTAAACAGTAGCTTAGTTATATTTTTTTTGTTATGGTTGTAGAAAAAGTTTAAAATGTTTACCTGTTGACATTAATTTTGATTTGTTTATAAATGTACACCAATGGGCATTTTTAAAAAATTGTTTATGATTGTCAGACATATTTTCAATCATTATTTTACCGAAACAGACTTAACGTTTTTTTAGAATGTCAAATATATACACTCGTTCTACATTATCAAAGATTACACTCTGTTTTTGTTAACATATAAAATCACACTGTAGTACTACTTTCAATCTGTTTTAAGAACGAGGTTATTGAGGTGTTCCGTACACACGGAAAAGACTTGCAACGTTTTAAAACTTTAAGAACAAAGCCTGAAAACATAGCATCATTCAAAAATGGCAGTTTTTTAAAGAAAGGGCGAAATTAAATCAAGTTTTGAAAGAATTTCCATGATTTTAATCAATATTCCAAAAAAATGTATATTTCCCAAAAATATTTCTATGCTAAGGGAATTGGGAAAATTTTTCCAAATTTTCAACCCTGTTTAGTTAAGAAAATTTGTAGCAAACAATCAACAAAAAAAAAAACAAAAAAACAAAAAACACTTTTTGGGTTAATGATACAGTCTTTGGTCGTTTAGTACGATAGTTCGATAATCTTTGATATAATCGTACATATGTATATTAGCCGCGTCACGACAAAACCAACATAGTGCGTTTGCGACCAGCATGGATCTAGACCAGCATGCGCATCCGCGCAGTCTGATCAGGATCCATGCTGTTCGCTTACCAACCCTATTACAAGAAGGGAATCTGATAGCGAACAGCATGGATCCTGATCAGATTGCGCGGATGCGCATGCTGGTCTAGATCCATGCTGGTCGCAAACGCAAGCGCGGCTCAAATATAACATAAATAAATGTGCGGTGATGTACACAATTCATTAAGACAAATAAACTTTGAGCAATAGAAAGTTATGAATGAAATTTAATTACTTTATCTTTCTTCCTAAACTTAGTACATTTGTACTTAATAGTTGAAGTAGCTTTATTCTGAAAAATGGAAATTAAAGTCTAGAATTTGACTAAAATAAATTTTGACACAATGTAATCACACAAAATATTGATCTGGTTGATCTCTTTATATCTGAATGAATTATATACGTTTATAGCTAAATTTGTAACATACATACCGCCAAAGTTTGTGTTTTCGTCAGCACTGTCCAATTCTAATTCGGCGTCCACGTCGTTCTTCAAAAGTCTTGCTATGAGATGGTTTTCAAGTTTCGATAGTTCGTCATGATAGTTAGGAACATTAGAATTGCCTTTACTTTCCACGACACTCAAAGCAAATATGATTGTGATGATAACGAAGTTAAGTAGGTTCTTCTCCATTGTATCTTCGTTCGTATCTTTGTATCAGTCCGTCTGTTAATTTATAAAAACATCATAAATTAATTCATGTTTTCATTCATTTTTATACATTTGTATAGTTCAATTAACTTTTATAAAAATATACGCATCAAAATCGTCTCCGGTTAGCTCAAGGGGTTGAGCGTTCGAGTGTTTGAATCGGGGCGACCCGGATTCCGGACGGTTGCCCAGAACTATTTCGTTTGTGATTTTATCATTGATATCCTTCATAAGGTCATTTCGCACTGTACCTCTGCTCTGCGCAAAAGTGAAGGCAACTAGTACTGGGTAAACTGCTTGAGAATTTACCCAGGAACAATACGGTGCCTGAAACCATACTATGTAATTTTTAAAGTGTTTATATGCTGTGATCCAAAGGGTAAACCACCCAACACACGCCACCACTATATGTATCAGCATTCTAACAAATGCAAGGTCTAGCACCAAGAAGTCCAGTTGATTAGTTGTACTATTAAGAAGTTAACAATGTTTTACAAATAATTTTTTAATTATAATACACATATTGTATCATTAGAGTGTGTGTGTGTATTTGTGTTTATTTATACTCGTCACCGGTTGCCCATATGGGCGAGTCCTCCAGGAGAGTATTAGTCATTTAAGACGTTTGAGAATAGTGCAATTACAGATACAGAAAGATGACCCAATTCCAGAAGCTTCTTTTGGTTCTTTAACGTGCCAAGTGTTTAAGCACCCATACACAGGACCTCGATTTAAAGTCTCATCCGAAAGACTGATTAGTAATTTTAGTTTGCCAGCCCGGGAATCGAACCCACAATCTCGTGATTACAAGTCTCGCGCTCTAACCGAATTAGATGTGCAGGCTGGCGTATCATTATGCCTAGGTTAAACATTTAACTGCAGTATCAAATTTCATGTAACAAGATTGGCCAGTGAAATCTTCTATAAACATCTTCGATGCGATTAAGTAACTACGAAACAGTGATTACAGACTCACAAAAAGTCACGTGTGGCTTTAACTTTAGCACCACCACAAATTTAAAACCTGAAAAAGAAAATAAGAAAACCTAGCAAAAAAACAACAAAAAAACAAATATCAGAAAAACGTACCTGTCAGCCAAAAAGATCAATAACAAGTGTACAAATTAGAAATGTATTACTCATTTATGGTATGTATATTTTGATAAAATTTAATGCTCCACGTAACATGGAGGGTTGTTAAAAATGTTGAATATCTTGCCTCTATGGCAAGTATTTTGACTTTGGTCTATTCTGAATGGTCTGTTTAGACTTTTATTGTTTTTTAAAACTCAAGAATGCGCTTCATAGAAGGTTTTTCGATTACGTTTAATTTTAAAAAAAACGAGTAGGGCATTCTTTTTATCCTAAACATTTTTCATTAAGAATTATCGGCCAATCACTTTTCTAATAAATAGTCAATCTTATTTAACTTAACTTGACAGCGAAACAAATGAGCATAATGCCACTTTAAGTATAGATTTCTTCGACTATAAATATTATCGTTTTATGTAAATTAATAAAAAATAAAATATGATGGAAGATAATTTATAATGTTTATTTGTTAAAGGCACAATTGAAATTAGGTTTTGCTACCGAAATTAAAAATACATTTTATTCACATAGCGTAAAACAGTAAAACAACCCTCGATTCACTGTTTTCATTGGCTTATATTGAAAATGACAATGCCAATGAAATGATACAACGATTAGCTGTAAAATGTTTTATCATTTTACATATACCACATTTCCCCTTGAGCTACCCTACTTTGTGACAATTTTTCCTCTCCCTAATGGTTTTCATAACCCATTTGTTTTTATCTTGATGGAAACCTTTTATCCAGATGTACGAAAACCTTAGACCATGGTACATTTATAATTGTACCATCTTTACCTAGTTTATCCTCCATAAAAATCTAAAAGTGTGTTATTGGCTAGTGGTTGTGATAGGCAATTAACCAAAAGATCTTCGTCAATTGATGATTTAATTCGTGCAAAAAAAAACTTCAACAAAACTTCAACAAGAAAATACTTAAATGTTAACCCTAAGTTTGCTAGCGGCAACATAACAAATAGATAAATCGGATTCACTGTCCGCTATGTAGTCAGTACATATTCCATTAAGATATCTAGCTTTGAAAGAGTTAAACGTTAATTTAACATTCTCATGATAAAAAACAACAAACAAGAACATTTTTAGGCATAATGAAAACCTAAATGTTTAAAAATCGCAATAATTATATTGACTGGCAGATCGTCAGATTGCAAGAGCAAAGAGTTTAAACCAATTTTGCTTATCGTATACTCTAGACTGTTTCTCGACCCAAAGGCAACCGGCCGGAAACAGACCTGGGACTATTTGTGTCAGCAAACGCATTAATTTATGGGCCATGCCATGAGAAAACCAACATAGTGCAGAATATGACTTCACCGATAAAACTTTATTTGAATCTGACGTCAAAATATGCACGCTTTTTATCAATTTACTGCGTACACAATTCCTACTTATCAATGTCAGTGCACGTCGTCTCGCTCATTTTATCTATGGCGCGTTGTGTGCAGGACAGAAATTCTCGAAATACACGTATTAATAAAATGTTATCATCAAACCATTATAGTGCATAATGCTTAAATAATAGGTAGCTCTACTTAAATTTACGAAATGAAACATTATGCCCGTCCGCTCTCGTCTAAGCAGTGAAGTGTGGCTTATTAAGAATCTATCATGCGTTCGCTTATTTGTGATAAAAAATACTAAAAGGATATACAAAATTGTAACTTAGTGAGTGGGAATAATTGTATATCCAGAAAATTGTAATTTTTTCTCACGGGCGGTCCATTTATGAAAAGTTCAAATAGGCCTTCTTTACAGAATAACTACGCATTTTTATATTGCGAGAGACCATGCGTTATCCACTTTCATAGACGAGTGAACTGGCTATATGTGACATTATTTAGCTATGATCTTTGCTAGTTTTGACATAGTTTCAAAACAAAGAATTCTAAATTTTAATTATAAGAGTTTCTGCCAATCCTGTAGTTGAAGTATAAGATAATCAATCTATTTTTCTGTTATAAAATGATGATTAAAATGTCATAATATTTCATCTGTTTATATACTATTTTATGTTAAGAACGAATACTCTAATTAAAAGCGAATCTATCCATAATGTTTGATTTTTTGTCACAGCAAAATGTTTTTACCCACAAAATTCGTGAATGATGTGTTTATAACGTCAATAAAGAGATTGTGAACATTTTCAGTACACAAACTAACGGGAATTCCATTTCTAAATACTTTATTTATTAAATAAAAATTAAATCTTATGATGTCACAGAGGCTACTGCATATTTTAGGAATTGTACATATTCCTTTTTTCCAACGCAACCAAAATGAAAACTTCTTTTGTTAAATTTGCGCTGTTATTTGTTATTTGCGCATTTAATTATTTAGACAATTATTGTCTAAACTGGTACATTTTCAAAATATTATAATAAATGTCATGTAGAAATCATACATATATTTCAAACGATTTCTCCACATTCCATTTCACTTTAGTAAACATTGTTTTTCCTGTTTGTAAAAATGAAAGTTTTTTTTTCCAAAAGACATACTAACATTACTTAAGGTGTTAGTTAAGCATAAAGTAACACATTGCTACGAAAGACCGTTAGGGCCATTTCAACGTCACGAATTCTCCATTTCAACTTCATGTATTCACGATTTCAACTTCACGAATTCACAATTTAAACTTCATGAAGTTGAAATCGTGAATTCGTGAAGTTGAAATCGGCAATTCATGAAGATGAAATCGGCAATTTATGAAGTTGAAATGTCTCCACCGGTCTTTCTTACATAGCCACCCCATCTATAATGCTGTACTTTGATTCTTATATATATGCCATTTCTAACCGAAGTGTTTTATATAAAATAATTAACTTGTTCATTACAATAACAAGTTGAAGGATTGCTGTTTATGAAAAGTACAACTTACACGTGCGCTGCATGTGTTAAATCAAAATAGATGTTTAATGGTTTTCCTTGAAAACAAATTTTCTTGTACTTTTACTTGGTTAGGTCTCATTAGAGTACAAATGGTAGATAATTTTAGAAACGTATTTATTTTAAATAATTGTTTAACATAGCCTTTCCAGGTGTTTAACTGTCTGTTATCTAGGACATAAACACTGCGTTCTTACAGTATACTTGGACACTTATATCCTGTATTTACGTAAAATGTATATAGTCTGTAAATTTATCTTTGTTAGGAAAGGATAATTTGACAGCGTCATTTGCTTGGACAGCGTCATTTGCTTAGAAAGGATAGTTTGACAGCGACCTTTGCTTGGAAAGGATAGTTTGACAACGACTTTTGCTTAGAAAGGATGGTTTGACGACACTTTTAGCTTACAAATCTTACCTTAGAAAGGATAGTTTGACGACACTATTAGCTTACAAATCTTACCTTAGAAAGGTTAGTTTGTCAGAGACCTTAGCTTAGAATAGAGAGTTCGCTGAGAAAGGATAGAATAACAACCAAGCTGTGCTTGTAAAGGATAGCTTGACAGATAGCATAATTTGATCGCGACCTTTCTTCAGAAAACACCCTATGACTGTTAGATAGTCAGAATTGTGGTTAACAATAAATAACACTGGCAAGTAGTTGATCCAACTGACTAAAAAAACTATTTGTCCCTCACTGCCGTGGGATCTCCAGTGGCTTTAGATGTTTTCATGCTAACTAGCTATCTTATTGAAGGTCAAGGTTTCATATACGGCGAAATTATATACACAGAGGGATACTTCAGGTGTACCTTAAAACTAGACAGATAATGTCATTGAATCCTCTCAATTTATAAAACTAAAAATGTCATGTCTTTGTTTCTCATTGATAACATTCGTTTTTATTCGAAAATGTCCATGCTGTTATACTGTCTCTATTGTATATATGTGTCAACGATAGGTCATTGCATATACTAGTAGCAAGTATTCAAGTATTTTCATCTATTTATTTCATTTATTAATCTTTTCTCTCTTTTTTTCGGGGGGGGGGGGGGTTTCTTTCAAATCTTTCAAATATACTGAGCATGGTTAAGTTATAAAAACAATAAGAAATGCATTGATCTTAATATTATGCAAAAATATCACGTGAGTAAATGACTTAATTAAAGGTACCATACTAAGACTTTCCGTGTGTTCCAGTGAAGTGGAGATGAAACATAAAAAATTAATTTAGAATTACTGTACATTTTCATGACAAGTAGACACTAAGTCAAATAAATGGCTTTGAATTGAAGATTGAATACTGCTCAATCTGATTAAAATTAGCACTAAATAACGCTCCGCTTTTAGATCTAACAGTGACCAATTACGAAGTTATTTCTGGTGATCTTTCACATAGCCAATCATCGGCGAGCTTTCAAAATTTTGAAAGCGATGCGGTTTCTAATTTTAACCCTGTGAAAACCAATACTGAGTAGGAAATTGTCACGATTTCGAGAACAAACTTGCCGTTGCCCATATAGCCGACAGGTAAACTGGCAAAACAATATTGCCAATTAAAAATTAACTTTATTATTTCAAGTTAATTTGTTAAAAATTACTTCAAATATTTTTTTCTAACAAAAATTAACAATTTGTTTAACTTCCACGGATAAAGTTATTTTGATATTTTTTCTAACGCCTATATAAAACCGGTTTCATTGCACGGCTAAAAATAGCTTTCTCGGGAAATCCGAATTATAAAGAAGGCGAAACATATACGGTCGTAATCAGATCTACATAACAGAAATAGGTAGATCTGAACTTTAGTCAGATTGGAATACTGCTTAACTTAACTACGTGCTAAGATTGAGGAATATGTTGCCATTTCCATTATCACTCATGAACATTCTCAATCCAACCGAATATCGATTTCTCTTTCATACTTGTATTTCACCTTTTGTTTTTGATCTGCATGGGAAATACAATACAAAAGAGGATCCGCGTTTTATTTTTGTAATAACGTTTTGAATATTTCATTTTAACTGTATAAAATGTGGCACCCTCTCGTTCAAATTAACACATACCAAGATTTTTGTGGTAAGAAGACAGTATTTTATACGGAAATAGAAAACGATTGTTTGAGCAATCAGGTATTCGTGCGATATGATAAAGAAAAATGAGTATCGTCTCGCAAGAAACATTTTATGTATGGGTTTCTTACTAGAATGAGTGTTTTCTACACTATCCAATATAATAATAAAATATTGATCATAACAGTTACGAGAGATAATAAAACTGGACCATCTTTTTCACGACGAAGGTCACAAAAAATCACGTTGTGTATTATCAAGTATTATAACATAAAATTTGATTGTATAACGTATAGTTGTCGATTGGTTTATGGCAAAACGGCATGTAATGTAGGTAGAAGTAAATATTCGTTACACAGATTAGCAAAGCAAATTCCAAGTTTAAACGGAGTGACATATTTCACAAGAAATCAAAAGACTTAATTATTCATAGACCTTCTGTAGTTGTAGTTGTTTTATAACTGAGTTCTTCACGATGACTCTTTTTGTCATACAATTCCTATCTTATAGGTTCTTAACATATACTCTGGATGAAATCACAATAATGATAAACATGTGTGTTTGAGTTGTAACTCAATACTTATTGTTTTATCTGTCTTTTTCAATTAGTAAGTGGTTTTGAAATGGAGACGAAAAACATCGGATACGTACAAGAGTCATACTTTCAATATTTCAATATTCATACTTACAAAGAAATCTTGTAATACAACACAGTAATCTAAATTATGAAGACAATGTCCACGATAGAGTAGGCGGAGACAGTTCTTGATTATATTTGTTTAGATCTTTTTTATGTAATATGTAATTGTGTATTTTGAAAAATTACTTTAAACCAGGAAGAAAAACTTAGCAATTTTGTTCTTCTGATAAAGGGAAGTAAATTTGTTAACATATGTTAGGTAAATTTTAGTAGTTATCCGTCTTTATGAAACATGACTTTTAGAAGCACGGAAATGTGGTCATTGTTTAGCTACACTATTAATACGAGGTATAGTCAAAAAGTTCCCGGACTGGTCTGTTTAAAAAGATTATTGACGTCCGATTGTCATGAAATTTACCATGAAGGTATTTTTAACTAATTTGAGTAGCAACATGTTTGAAAAAAATCAATTTAGTAAATATTTGGAAGTTATTTTTCACATGAAACACGCCGCAACCCGTTTGCGGAGCATTTCAGAATTAATTTGATTTTTCTAGAAGTGAATAATACCCTTTCATGAATGTCTCAAAATTCTGGCGCCAGAACTTCGTGATTTTTGTACGTGACGTCAGCTGAACGTTACTAGTAAACAACTGCAAATATTTAGCGTGATCGGATGACGTATCGCCATTTTGTGCACGATTATTCAAGCCACGTGAAAATTTCTATACGAAAAAATGTCAACCTCAGAAAAACGTACGGAGCAGCGGGCAGTAATAAAATTCTGTGCGATGTCTGGAATGACTCCGACTGATTCCTGGAAGTTTTTGAATCAGAAGGAGGGTGTTCATAATTGTTCTAGGACACCTGTGTTTGAATGGCACACGCGTTTTAGGGAAGCTCAGACGGAAATTACCGATAGTGCACGAAGCGGAAGACCGGATAACGATCAGCGCTCAATTCAAGATGTGAAGGACGTCATCGCCAAAGATCGGAGAAAGTCGATTGATGATATCGCAGACACCGTCGGGCTTTGTCATGGAACTGTTCATAAGATAGTGACGAAGGATTTCAACATGAATAAGGTATGCGCCCGCTGGGTACCTAGGTTACTTACAGATGAAAGCAAAGCAACCCGTGTAGACGCTTCCCGAGAATTTTTACGGCGATATGATAGAGACGGCGAACAATTCCTAAGGCGCATTATCACTACGGATGAGACGTGGGTTAACTTTTATGACCCGGACAGTAAACGAGAGTCGATGGTGTGGAAGCGACCTTCATCACCTCCCCCCAAGTAGGTGAAAACCTGCAAGTCGGCGAAGAAAGTTATGTATATTTTCTCATGGATAGCCAGGGTATGCTGTTGCAACATGCGGTGCCAAGATCGGCGACAGTCAACCAAGAGTACTATCAAAAGGTAAGCATTAATTATGTCGCATGAAATGTTTTTACTAAATTTCTATGTTTATTTATATGTAAGGTGAAAAGTATATAACAAAAAGTGAAAGAAACAAATTTTTATAATTTGCCGCATTTGTGGTAGTTTCAAATAAAATGAATTTGTTATTAACAGGTTGGTGCGGAGGGATCTAACGAACGCTATCAGGAAAAAGCGAGCAGGGTGCAACATCGAAAATTTAATTTTTCATCAAGATAATGCTCCAGCACACCGCGCAGACAAGACACTCCTTATTATTGACTTCTTAGGATATGAGCGGCTACGTCATCCCCCTTATAGCCCCGATCTCGCCCCCTTAGACTTTTGTGTTTTCCCTAGACTGAAAGCTGATTTGAGGGGTCGGAGGTTTGATACAGAAGATGAGATCAAATATGCTGTGAGGTCCGCAATAAGAAGTTATGCAGACATTTACCGGAAGTGGGTACAGCGGCACAGGAAGTGTATTGAACACAATGGGGACTATTTTGAAAAAGCATGAACGTGACGGTAAGCTGTTTATGGAATATAAACGTCACCTGAACGTCGTTAGCGTCGTCGACGTCGCCGAAGTGCTCCGTACGTGACATAGTGTGTAACTTTAACGGGGTGTTAAATATGTGTAACATTTATGAAAATCATTGACTCTTATATATTCATGCAGCGATTTCTCTAAATTGTAATGTGATATATGTCATTATAAAAACATACACAAAATAACAAAGTAATCGTAAGAGTCCGAGAACTTTTTGACTATACCTCGTACATATACAGATTCCCTGATAATATAAATATGTCGATAAACTATTCCGTTAGAAGACATGGAATTGTGGATTATTTTAATTAAGATAATCCTTGTCCATGGTGTTAATAACTCTACCTACTATGTAATTAAGTATGTCAACTAAACATAATACTTTCATATTATACATCTTTACTCATTTTCTAAACCATAATCCACGGGAAGACCTAATCTACTTTTCGTATACACTTTTCGTTAAGGTTTTCTAGCTGGGGGCACTGTGGTGACAAGGATGAGAAAATAACATTATATAAATGAATGTAAAAACTCACCAAACCATCTGTTTATAAATATCATATAATATAATTAATAAACCGCCGTATTACAATGTTCTCCTAACGAATATTTATATAATCGCATTTCAAAATTATATTATAAATGTAATGTGAAAATTTTAAAACTGTATCATATCACATGTTTCCCTTCTTTTAGTTTTACACTGTTCTTCTTGATATATTTGTATGATTATGCATAATTGTAAGATTGTATGTATGACTTTCAAATAAATGGGGTTCCACATTTGTGGACCCCCGAAGCTAAATAAAAATCATGAAAACAAAAGTGATGAGTCATGCATTTATACACATGTATTAATATGTTTGCATTTCAATCCAAAGATGTAGTCACTTCCGTCCAATTAGACCTGACAACTGGGAGATCGCAGTTGAATTTGTTGCTACCATGTTTAGAACATGATTAGATTGACATCGACAACCAGATCCAATAAAGCCACACCCTTTTTTTCCATACTCTAAAGGAGCACTCCTTGCACATCGTCCTAATCCGTCAATGAACGGTGCTGTGTCCTTGCAGATTGCTCTCCCGGCAACGACGGCTTTCTGGCAAAGCTGTCCATTAACACTACAAGCAATACTGACGACAACAAGAAGTATTAGAGTGAAACTTTTATTTCTGTGAAGTGGGTAGCAAATCATGCTCCTGTTCTTACCAGTCTGGAAATAATAAATTTGCTGTCACTATGTTGTTTAAACTTGCTTAAAATCAAAAAAGATAAAAAAAAGTGTAAAGTTGTTAACACTAAATTGAATAATAATGAAAGAACATCTGTTGTTTCACAATAGAAAAAGAAAATCGTGGGTATAAATTAGTATGAAATACCATTTTTGCGAAAGAAAACTTAAAATGATACATACATGTTTCCGCACAACAAACGTAACCGTTGCAATAATTTTCAATTGTTTCATAAATAGAACCGTATATTGTTGATAAATCCGTTCATATGAATCAAACGTTAATGACGTCATAAGCGATTTCAACATTTTCTCCATATCTTATCATGAATGTCAAGACAAATGTCAAATCCTCTACAATGTTATCTGAATTTTACATTTTAGACTTACCATTCTTTCTGATATCAAACATGATAAGATAATTATTTCAGTGCAAGGGAAAAACATGTCCCAGATATAGAAAATAAAGATCAACAAGGAAGAGTGGCACAACACAGGACTACCAGAAAGCAACCCAGCAGAACACCAAACAGGACAGGGTACACGTGCAAAACTCGAACGAGATAAACATTCATAATGGATAGTGTTGACAACTTGATTTCGGAAAATTCAACAGGAATGTACCTGAGGCTGCAATTTGTGAATATTTCATCGTCTTCTTTATCTATTTTCTCATTATTTTTGTCTGTAAATGACATTGTTACAACGGGTATTACTTTAAAAATGTTATTAAATGAAGTGTACAGTATTTGTCTAAAATCGGCTCAATCCTGATATGAATCAATTCTTGCACTAAACATTGGTACAATTGATAACTCGCATAAACGACAAATGACGTTCAAATAACATCACATTATGAAAATATTCGTTTAAAACGTTTAAAATGACGGGCAATTTTAGTTTGATTTTGTGTCAGATTTAAAATAAATTTCCGGTAATTTTTGACAATTGTTATGTTTTTATAAATACTTTGGTTCGTAATCAAATTTCAACGTACCTCGCGTTTTGTGTCGGCTGCTGAACTTAACACTCAATGCTTCCAATTCCAGATTTTTAAGCGTTTATAAATCTTAAGAAAACATTGAGAACATTTTAATAAACAAGGTGTTTTCCGTATTATCCAGGTTTTTTCCCCCGAGAAATCTTTATTTTAATTGTATTTACATGTATTTATATTCGTATTTGTTTCGATTACTATCAGATAGCGAATTTGTAATGTTTACCTTGTCATCTGACAGTGATCGATATTTGGTTCCGAAAAATCACGGAGCATACACAACATTTCACAACGGACCCCAACTATACAGTTTTTCTAACAGTCTTATTTTCATACTCCGTAAACTGGCCAAATTTTCTACAGTTGACCTAAAGTTTTATTATGCCAAACGCAATTTTTGGTCATTTCTGTGCCATGTGCAATATGAAAATATTACTTCCGTAATTGTTTTGGTAAAATGAATTACGCATATATGTTATACTATTAAATATTTATTATGGTAATGCGTGGTTAGAAAACAAACATAACTGTACTCGTATAATGCGAATGTAATTAATGTTTTTATGGAAATGATATTACAAAAGAAATTGTGGAAACAAGTTCTCTTCTAATATTAATTAAACCTTAAGAATTATTTCAATCCCCGGTATTGTCATTCTTTTGTAAGTAAATCTTCGGCAATAAAAGAGTTCAAGAATTTCTGCATCAAGATAATGTAATTTCATTTCTTATCTTACTCTTACAATTGTAAATACTACAAGTAACAAGAAATAAGAAACTGAGCAAAATGCAGTAAAATGCGTCTAGATGAAAAGTGTTAGAACTGTATCAAGTAAGTAAATGTTACATTAGTAAGTAAAGTTTAAGCACGTCCTTTCAAATGATTTCTCTGTATCAAACTTTATGTATATAATCCGCCATCTACCATCGAGGACAAATCCATGTCAGCGTCGCCGAACAAACACCTTGTCCGTCTCTGTCAGATCGACCTGTAATCACACGATTCAATCCAATGTATATGTCCTCATTGATTCCTTGTCTGTCTGCTTGACCATTCAGAGCATACAGGCAGTTGTCACATACATATTCATCAAATCCTTGGTCGTTCATGATTCGAATGTATTGGTTGCTGACATAAATGGTCATGTGATTGACATTTTGTCCCATAGCGTTCTGAAAAGTTTTGAATGCACCTACCGAATTGCATTTATCGTTGTGATAAAGTCGAACTGCAGAAAAAACGCCTTCAGCCTCTGCATCATTTATCTGTGTGTTGTAATCACCCCCTTAAAGTTTTACAAAACACAGGTGAATAAATAATTACAATGAATTGGATGTAACTTTAACGATTACATTTGAAAGGGTAACATAAACGTTAGAGTATAGAAACGACAATCTCAAATTTCAATTATGCATACAAATAAAATAACATTTCTATTATGTTAAAGGATAGTTAACTTTCAAAATAGTGATGATACCTCATTCATACTCATAGCCGAGATATATTTGTCAAATAATGTTGGATCAATAAAGTCTTCTCATGCAGAACATTTATGCTTATAATAACAAAATGGCGACTTGAATCGAATTGAAATGCCATACATGTTTAATGTTTTATTAATTAAATCTACTTACTGTACCCATCGTTTGTTCTGCTGTCTCCTATATTAAACCCCCAACCTGATCGTGTACCAGAACTAAGTGTCAGATCTATTTTCAACATACGTCTACCACATAATGGTCTTCTTAAGCAGTAGTCACATGGTTCCTTTGTAAACGTCTCAAAGTTTATCTGTGATTTAAGTAAAATTGTCATAGTTTTACCATATGCGTCAAATCTGACTAAAATACATCGCTACGAGGAATAATGGAAAAGATTTTTAACGTTTCTATTACTATAGTGTTCCGTATTTACATATTTACCTTAAGAAGTGCTCTTTTTTTACAATCACCAATTTTGCCTGTTTGTGATGTTGGCTGTTGAAGGATTTGAACACCTGCTGCGGTATTGATTCCATTAGAAGGAGCATTGTTTGTTAAATCGACATGAGTGAATCCATGTTCACAGCACTGTAACGTCGAAAGGAACGGTACGTAAGGTCTACAAATGGACAACGGTCTGTATCTTGCACCGTCAGGAATTTGTAATCTCTTCTCTTGTCCAGACTCTTTAAGGAAGATATATGTATTGTATTTTCTTAAATATTTCATAGCATTATTGCAGTAAAGATGTCTATTTAAATATTAAATTGTGCCTTTTTATTACAATTAGTAATTGATTCAACATGATACCTAATTTCGTTCTTTACTACAATTTGATAACATTCTTAACCGAGCTGACCATTATTCTAAAATGTGCACACACCATAGGCAAACGTGCTTCTGCTTAAGCCTGGGCTAGGATAAGTGGACTGTAGTTTGCACCGGACATATCCAGGTTTACATTTCTATGAACGACTTAACAAACCAGTTCTACCTAATCATGATTTTTCTTCTTTATGTTCAATCCCGATGTTTTCCAAAGCATTTTCTTTAAATCAAATTTACGATTGACAATTTAAAATATGTTTTAGATCAGTGTTTGATATGTTTCATGAATTACTATATCATCAGTAACATTTAAAAAACATTATTTTTTGAACTGTAATATTTTTTGACACGGGTATTAAAAGAAAATCCCGTCAACATTTTAAAGATAAATAATGCTTAACTTCAATATTTGAAAATAGTGATAATTGGTATACGGTCGATTATTAAATTAAAACAAGCGGGGGTTTCAAGCACGCACAAAATGGCTGCGGAGGAATTGTCTGTTTAGATCTGCAGAGTTGTTGAAATGAAAGGGGAAGCGTTACAACACGATTATACGATTATACCATTACGTCCGTACTAGTAGTATTCGTTTTATACTGTGACAGAACGGATACGCTTCAGCCAATATCGCAATGTGCCAGGAATAACGCAGAATATAAAACATTATAGACATCAGACCAAGTCTAACCAAAATAAAACAGCATACGCGTGACCTTGCTTTAATGTCCTGCTGGGACATAGAAAAAAGGGGGGATGTAGAAAAAGGCTACGTCTGTCCGTCTGTCCGTACAAACCCAGACGTACTTAAGTGACTTGGAGAACAATGGATAACAGTAAATTTGCTTTGATCTTTTTCATTCCGTTTTTACTTGTGTGTCTTTATTCAAGCATTGTGTGACTAAAAATGGCTAAAAAAGATCAAAGGAAAAGTCACATAAGTACCATTTCGTAAGTACTTCCGTCTTTCCGTCACACTTTCGTGTCCGATTCATAACTTTGTCATTTATCAAAGGAATTTGAAATAACTTGGCACAAACGTTTGTTATGATAAGACGATGTGTCATGCGCAACAACCGGTCATCTACCTCTAAGATCAAGGTCACACTTGGAGGTCAAAGATTAACATAGTCTGTTATATGGTATATTTTTATATCCAGTCTATAACTTTTTTATAGATCAAGGGATTTTAGAAATACTTTGCACAAATAATCACAATAATAAGAAGATATGTCAGGCGCAAAACATGGGTCCCTACCTCGAAGGTCACACTTAGAGATCAAAGGTGAACATAGTTTGCTATAGGATATATTTTGTGTCCGATCTATATCTTCTTCATACTTCAAGGGATTTTGAAAATACTCGGCACAAATAGTAACAATAATAAAACGATATGTCATGCACAACACCTGCACAAAGCTTAACATGATAGATTTTAAAATTCCGTGTTTCATTTAATTTCTTTAATGAATTTATTGTTGCATTTGCAGATCTAGCATTGATCATAATTTTGGACTGAAAGTCCTGAGATCCATGCCTTAATCTTTTAAAATAGCACAATTTTGTGCTTCATATTAAACTTTCCCTGAGTCGGGAACAATGTTACATCAGGTTTAATAAAACTGTTATATTATCAAAAATAAAAATACCATGGAAAAGTTTTACACTGTCAGATCAAATGGAGGACTCTATGGTGAATTCTTAAGCGCTGAACTTCAGGTCAATGAAAACAGCTTACAGACCAAATTTGGAGTAAATCAAACTTAAAGTGACCAAGTTATGCTCTGGGCAAGCCTATTAAATAAGAAAATTAAAAAGGGCAAAAACCCCAAAAATCATGAAGTGCAGAGTACAAGTTCTTGTGCACTGCACTTCTCCTCAATGAGATCTATCATCCTATGAAGTTTCAAATCAATAGCTTTTAAAGTGTAGGATTATTGACCTGGACAAAAATAAAGTATTATAATTAGCAAATGGCAATAACGATAAAATCATGTAGTACAGAGTACCGGTACTTGTGTATTGCACTTTTTCCCAATCAGATCTATCAAGCTATGAAGTTTCAAGTTCATAGCTTTTATAGTTTAGATGAAATGGCCGGGGAAAAATAAAGTAAGAAAATAAACACAGAAAATTAACTAAAAATCATGGAGTATCGGTTCAATGAGATCTATCATCCTTGAAGTTTCATGTCCATAGCTCTTACAGTTTAGGAGAAATGACCCGGACAAAAATGAAATATGAAAATTAACAAAGGGCAATAAATCAAAAAATAAGAAGGGCAGAGTACCAGTTTTTAAGCACTGCACTTCTCTCCAATAAGATAGTTGCAAGTCCATTACTTTTATACGGAGATAAGAAAACATTGTATTTGAAAAATATATAAATTAAGATGTTTTGAAACAAAGCCAGAATATAAAAATAAGTCATGAATTGTGAAGCTGGTGTATGTGAATGTGTTTATGTACTTGTTTTTTTTAATTGACGACCCGCAAAATAAATCGTGTCATTCCGCAGTAAATCATGCGTCTAATTCAAAATCAGACATAAAAGACTCGACTGCTTTGCAGCCGAACAAACATCTTTTGAGTAATTGCATCTTGCCAGTCTTTTAAGTTAACGAAAAGAACCGTGAACACAATAGGAAGGGTACACAGAACTGATACGGTGTAAATGTCTTACCTACGGTAAGATACTAAACGTTTAAACAAATTGTTATTGAATGCTTGGAATTGTTGACTAAGTTTATTCCAATATGACGAGTATAAAATAAATTCATACAGTACCTTATTAATATAAATGTTCTTATTATTGTGGTTGTAGAAACTGCAAGTTTAAAATGTCTGTTGACATTAATTTGGATTTGTTTTTAATTGTACATCAGTAGGCATTCTTAAATTGTTGTTGAATGTGAGTCATATGTTTAATCATATATTTTCCGAAACATACTTCAGATGTATTCTTATACAAGATACAAAAAAAGACAAAAGAACATTTACTGTTCCACCTAGAATGCGTGTGCATTTAAATGTATGTTAAGAAATAATTAATTGACAACTGTTTTTTTGTATACAACTCATCAAGATATATTAACTTTGTGCAATAAAAAGTTATAAATGCAAGTTAATAATTTTGTCTTTCTTCCCTAAACCATGCACCTAATAGTTGAAGTTTGTAGCTTTTTATCAAATTACTTGAGAAATTTGAAATGAAATTCTAGAATTTGCAAAAAGAAGAGGTTTTTAAGTTTCAATAATTCGTCATGATAGTAAGAAAAACTTGAGAATTACCTTTGCTCGCTGCAACGACACTCACAGCAAATATGATTGTGATGATAACGTAGTTAAACTGGTTCATCGCCATTGTATCTTTATGTAACAGTTCGTCTTTTATGTAACAGTTCGTCTGTAAATATATTTAATCATAATTTATTTTTTCATTTATTTATTTTTCACTATATAGTTCAAAATATCCCAGTTAGCTCAAGAGCGTTGGGCAGAGAATCGGGCGACACGGGTTCGATTCAAGGACGATGCAGAATTTTTCGTTCTTATTGATCATGAAAACCTTCCTAAGGTCATTCGCACTGTACCTCTGCTCTCGCAAAAGTGAATGCAACTAAGACAGATACACAGAAACAATGCGGTGGCTGAATTATGCTCTAGAAAATTTGAAATTGCTTATTGCCGTTATTCAGAGGGTAATTGTCCAACTCAACCACTATACTTATCTAACATTTTTTAACAGTTGAAAGTCTAGGTCCAAGGTATTCATTTATTAGTTGTACTATTAAAGAAAGTAACAAAGTTCTACAAATAATTATGAAAGAATTATACATTAGACGATGTGCATGACTGGTTATATTCTTGACTAGATTAAGCCTTCAAATGTTGTAAGGGAATTGATATATTAAGAGATTCTCAGAGAATTCAAATGAACATTTTCGATGCGATTAAACAACTACGTAAGAGTGAAATCATCATTTGCTTTAACTTTACGTCAATCAAACAATGTGTTTTGAGTAATAATACAGGTAATGAATGAATAAGCATCATTAATTATTTTTTATCTAGTAAAATGTCCGATTTAGAAAATAAGAAAACTTGGCAAAAAAATGAAAAACAAATGTAAGAGAAACGTACCTGTCAGCCAAAAAGATCAGCAATAAGTGTCCAAATTAGACGAAAGAACTCTCATACTCATTTGTGATCTGTATATTTTGTTAAATTTTAATGCTCCACATAACAAGGAGGGTTGTATAAAAATCCATGGCGAGTATTTTTACCTTCGCTTATCCTGAATTTTCAGTTTGGACTCGTATCTTTTTAATTATTCTGCAGCTCTTTTCAGAAAAAATCGTACGACAAATAAAATCTTACGATAAGTCTCCTTTTCACAAAATATTTTAAGAAAATCTTAAAGACATTTTCGGGGAGTTTTAACATAGCCATTAAAGAAAATTAAACCTACACAATAGAATTTCTTTAAACTTGGCATGCTCGTTTTTTAGTTATCTGCCCCTGAATTTGACAGTTTTGCTTGATTTAAGTGCAGAAAATTCATCATGAAGGTAAACAATACCTTATTTTCTTCTTATTTTCATGAAGCTTACTTCCGTTTGAGTAAATGTATTTATGTATCTCACAGATCCTTCTTTGAAGTAAGATAATGTTTAATTTTATTATGTAATTATAGGTATTTATTGGCTAAATAATGCAAAATTTAATTACAATTATGGTACCTGATATTATAGAAACAAAACTACATGTTGACGTATTTTATATTTGACAAGATCAAATAATATACTTCAATATACTTTCAAAATAATTTGGCAAACTTTATAAACAGTCCCTAATTTTGGTACATTTTTATGATAGTTTCAATAAGGAATAATAGGGAAATGGTCAAACATTTTGAGTTGAAACAATCATTTTGCTAACTGAATGCTATTATTTGTTTCCTAATAATGATCAGTAGGAAAAGCATTTTTCTTAATGATGATATTATAAATAGTTAAGAGTTTCTTCATTTCTGAAAAAAGAGCCCTTCTAATAGCCAAGCGTTAGTGAATAAAAATTCCATAACTCGAAAATCACACGGTGGATGTTGTAAAAGTGTGCATACAGGTGTTCTTTAAGGCATTTAACTGACACATTTTTTCAATTTTACAGTGCTTACTTGTGGTTAGAATCATACGAGGGGTGTTAAAATATGAATGTAAGTAGGCCAATATCTCGCTTTTAACCACGTTTTGCACGAACTATGTATATGTATCGTATAGATTGTTGTGTAAGCTCTCACTTGATGTAACACATGTGTGAATCAGTTTAGTCTAGCTTTGACAATAGCTCGATTTACGCTATATTCTCGTGTATACTAAAGCTAAATTTGTTGGGAAAAGGTCTTCAATCACTGACCAAATACGGTCCTATCAAGAACCGCTGTATTCTTGGTATACAGGCGAAAGACATATTTAATGAAATATGTCGTGTTTATGGGAACATATAACTTTCTTTTTCATCTGAAACACGGTGGTGTAAGAAAATTAAAAGTACCTCATGCACGCCGTCCAAAAACCGCAATTTCGCCAAAAATGGTTGAAAAAAGTAAAGAAATTTGATTGCTACTTATGCAAGATTTACAACTAGGTATGTATCTAAATGCGTTGGTATCTCTGTAGGAGCCACTCATACAATTCTGAGACGTCATTTAAAAATAAGAAGGATAAGTGTCAGATGGATACCCCATCTCCTTTCAAAAGAGCAAAACCTTGAATCTCCAAACAATTGTTGAAACAGTTCCAAAAATACAACAATCGATCTTTCGCAAATATCATCACTAGCGATGAGACGTGGGTTTATTTTTATGAGTCAAAGAGAAAGATACATAAATAAAATATGGTCAAAAATCTTGCAAAGCAAAACGCACCATGAGCGTCAAAAATGTCATGTATGTAATTTTCTTTACCAATCAAGATCCTATTCAAAGATGCTATTCAAATTGCTGTACTAAAGGGTAAATCTGTGAAGCTCCTTCATAAATTAAAGAAATATTTCAAAACTCGTCCACCCGCAATTTGTCTCCATGGTTGTTGCATCGAAATGCTTCGACGCACAAAGTGGCCATTGTACAAGCATTACTGAAACAGGAAAAGGTTGTCGAGCTACCTCATCTTCCCTATTGCCAGATTTTGCCCCTTGTGACTTTTTTCCTATTGCCGTGTCTACGTGTCTAAAAACACATTGCTTGAAGAAAATATCAAACGCGAAAAAATCTCGGTTCGGCTATTTTCCAGTATCTGGACAGTATACCTCTCAAAGATTATAAAAAGCATTAAAAATTGGATTTAAAGACTTAAACTTAAACTTTTTATATCACATGGTGGTGAGTATTTTAAAGGACTGAGATAATTATTGTGGCACTGTTTGTTAACCACTTTTAAAAATTGACAGTTGCATCCATATTTGAACATCCCTTGTACCTTAAATATAAAAATATTATCTTTATCTATTGTAAAGTATTGAATTAGGAGGACATTGCATGTTGTCTTAAATGAACAATGCTTTGAATAATTGCAATGTTATTTACCATTTGAAACTCAAAACATAGCCAGATATCTTCATTGTAATCAAAATGTTTAACATTCTTCTTTTCTTATCTTTCTTTTCAACAAACCTAAACATAAGATATAATCAAGGAAAATATCGCTTTAAAATGATCTGTATGACGTTAAAACTGACACAAAATATTACATGAAACAATAAGGTATGGTAAACATACCGTGCATGTAAGATTTATCACGCGATCAGTTAGGTCTCTTAAAAGTAACAATTGCGCATTATATCAACATTAGAGAATATTTGTTTTAACAATTCTTCCCCAACTTTACTCTTTCAAATTTCATCCAATATATATTTTAGTTATATTATTACACTGTTAAAACTAATGCCTTACTAGTTCAGCTAAATTTGATTATAAGTTAACAAAATGTAATAAATGTGTACTAGTAATTTGACTTATTTGATACTTCTGAAAAGATGGTTTTAATAAATTGGATTTATATCATTACTTTGATTTCGATGAGGATTATAAGCATTGTAACATTGGGTATTCAACACATAGACCTACTTAATCTTACAAAATAGGAATCCATGGCTCTGTTGAGAGGCCAAATATTTTGTTTACTAATCCTTAATAAAATCCGATAAGGTGGTATAAATTGAAATCTTAAGGTAGTTCAAACATTGCCTCCGTACAATATTCATTATGTATATTCAAGTTAATAACCACGATAAATATTTCTTGATATAATTGCTTCCCGCTAATATACCCAAGGAATGCATTGTATTTTCTTGTATGTGCTTTTACTTTCACAACCTTTGGCTTCATAACATCAGATCCCCTTTGAAAATTCCATTTTAATTTAGTTTCGCCCATCCATGAACAGCCTCAATCAAACCGAGCCTGCAATATTTTCAATTTTGCCGGGTTGGAATTTCTTTAGGGATTCTGTTTTTCTCGATTTGATTGATGCACAGTATCAAAATAGGTAAAAGCATATTCGATATAGACATCGTAAGCATACCTGTGATATCACTTAGCAGCTATGTATCTGTACATCTATCTACGCCAAAACCCTTGATTTTACATGTCATTTTTGAAAGTTTACTCGTTTAAAAATCTGTTTATTTTATACGCATGTGCGTTTGGCATATCGGCAGGTGTTCGATTACATTACCAACATGTAAAATCCGCATTCTTCATATTTCTTAATACCTAGGCAATAAAGTTGTAAACTTTGATTCTAAAACACTCTGACCCATATAATGGTTATCAATTTATCAGTTTGAATCATTTTTGTTTTTTTTTAATTGTAATAACATGATTGTGTTCAAAACATAATTATTTCAAACTTTTCATTACCTGATTTTTTAAACCGGAGGCAGGTTTAGTGCATGCACATCTATAGCAAATGAAAGTTACTACAGACGTTTCTTGCTGTAAGATTTATCGTAAGTGAAGGCGTTATATAAATATAAAATTTTAACTTACAATTTGTTTTATGAAAATGACTTAAGATTTGACTTTCGATTATAGTATGTCAAAAACTTACAGATATTTTGTGAAAATGTCTGCAGGGCTGCATTTCATAGAAAGTCCTAAGTCTGAAGTCAGTCTTTAGATAAATGTCCTAACTTACGTCTTTTATGTTATAACACCAGTTTCTTTACAATAATGTAGATGAATATTAACGTATTCATATTAAGGCAAATGTCATTGTGTTTCTTTTTTTCTCAGGTGAAAATATTTAATAAATGTCTAAAGTAAGAAATGTTTACTTTCCTAAATCAGCACTTAATTTAGTCTAATGGCCTCGAAATTAAGATATGCTTATAATTTTCT